CCGACGGTTGTCCGATAACGGTGAAGCAAAACTGAACACGAGACTTACAGATTTTTATTTAATTTAAAAACTCGGACTGACATAAAAAACGAAGTAATAGTCTGATATGTACGGTCGTGAAGGAGGCACACTGTTATCTTCGGGGAAAATTGTTATCAGGAAAAATGTCAACAAACGAAGTGGGGTGACATTAACCTGGTCGAAGATCACATAGATCTCTCAACAGCTAGATCTCAGTGACCAACTGACGCAATAGGATTTAATTGAAGGGGGATTCAAATTTCAAACGACCATAACAATTTCATAAATTAAGGGGGACGGAGCCGGTGGGTGTTTTTGGTACAAAAACATATCTTACAGGAAAACTCTCACGCTATGTAGAATAGTCGGATTTTGTTAATTTTTTTTTTTTAATTTAAAAGTAGAGAACATTTTGTTGGTCGGATCAAATTATAAATATAGAAGCTGGAACATGCATTTGAAATTTGAATAATGCATACCATTTGTTCTTTTCCAAATTACTATTTAAAGTAAAACAAAAATTCGGGCTTTCATCCGACATGCAAAAACTTCTCATCTTTCAGATAAAAAAAAAAATTACCAAAATACGACATATCAACTAGGCGTGATAGTTTTTCCTGCAAAAGCGTTTTTGTTTATAAAAATAGTCATCGAAGTCAATCACTGCACTTGTCTGTGTAAATATCTTTATCTGCGAGTGCAATTTATTATAGCTCACTCGCACTAATATCGATTTACATAACCACACACATGCATGCCGTATCTGGAACAAATTTTCGGGGGGAGGGGGGGGGGTTAAATAAAATAATATTTTCATTTTAAGTAATTAAAAAAAACTAACACTTATTTTAAACAAAAAAAAAAAATCACATTTTACTTTGTTAATTCATCATAATTTTTTTAAGTAAATTTATATTATAAGCAATTATTAATTTAAAAATATTTTATATCACAAAATCTATTTGTCGGTCTTTTTCTTTGGCGAAACGATCAATAACTTCAGCCGGATCGATATGAATTTACCTAAGAACACTCAAAAGAGCTAAGCCTGTAAGTCGTTCTTGGCCTGATGAGTTGCGTAAATAGTTTTTTAATCTTTTGATGGTTGAAAATTTACGTTCTGGCGTAGAAGTCGAAACTGGCAATGTAGCTATAGCTTCAAAACAAAATATTCATAATTACATTTAATATAATATGCTTCAATAGGTAGCTGAATTTAGTTGGTCTTTTTCTGGTTTGTTAGACCATTTTCTTTTCCAAAGTTGAATTTCTGTTGGCAGTACCTACTTCTATATCCAGAAATTCAGAATATATTTCATAGTCGTTTGCATCTATTTCAAATTTTGTTGCATATTTTTGGTAACAACTTGTGCCGTGAAGAAATTTGTTTTTTGTGATTATTAAACCTTGCTTGAAGTTGAAGTTGTTCAATGAAATCGTCGAAAAAAGGAATAGCTATTGTTATGCGGTAATATTCTTCAGGTGAATTTGTAATGACATTAATTTGATGTTTTTGACGTGCAACGATTCTTGGTATTTATATGTCTTCTTCGCTATCAACTGATTTTATGAGATTCTTTGCTTTTTCAAAAATCTTGGAAAATGTAGTATCCATATTACTCCGCATATCATGTATTTCGTGTAACACAGTCTCAACATATTCCATTGCTTCAGTCAAATCACAATTTACAGATTGTAAATTCTTACACAATGGTAATATTTGGGTAAAAAGTATAGAAGCTGTGACATATGCGCGTTCAGCGAGAGGCCGACACAACATGTGAATTGAATTGCCTAAATTTTACTCCTTAATAAAATGACCGGCACCGACACCCTTAAGGGGCCTCGCTTAGTGATGTGCCGTGGGTTGTGGGTAAATACCCGACCGTTAGGTAAATATTTTGGGTGTTTACTCACTATAATATTTACCTAAGAACAATTTTGGTAAATATTTAGTTAAATTTTAATGCAACTTTAAATCATTTAGTTTATTGCAATGAATAACTATAGGTATTGTCAAACATAATCTTTTTTATTATATTATCGGAAAAGTCAGGAAATAATCATAAAAAAGTATTGTGATATCCATGGTCATTTAATGGGTAATTACCTAAAATTATATTTACGGGGTATTTGTCTATCACTAGCCTCGCTACGATCATTATTTAAGGGGCAACGTTTAGGCAATTTCTAATCTTTACATGACCGCCAGGGATCTTATGGATCCTATGTCTTAGTTTTAAATGATTATTAGTGTGACTAGTGTGAGTGAAATTAAATGAGAGTATCCTCTCTCGTACGTGAATGCACATGTCAAAAACTCGATAACCATATAAATTTCACCACACGAATTTTACAAAAACGTACATTTGTTTCGAGAAAATTAAAGTTAATATTAACGTTGTGTGGTTTAGATTCTGAAAAAAATATTTTAATTCAGCAGAAAAATGTTTGTAGAATCATTTTCCGTTTTTAATATTAGTTTTAATTATAATTCGAAAAAATTGATATTTTCAAGTTTTTAATTACAATTCACAGTAGTATAAAATTTAGTTTTTACAAAGTGCTTAGGATGTATAGAAAATTTTCTGGTGAGTTCAAATTTTTTAACAGAATCAAAATCGGACAACGTTACTTAACTTTAATTTTGTCAATACTTTAGGTCTTTTCAGTTAAAATTGACGGCAGTAGCGAGGCCCCGATTTGAGTTTTCAATGTTTTCTAGGTTGACTATTTAATCAATTTTAGATTCTGAGCGGAGCGATGAATGTATTGGTTTTACAATCTGTTCTTTTTAAAAAAATGTTTGTTGTTTGTGTACAACTGTACAAGGAGTCGAATTAATTCTTCGATTTTCAACTTCAGTATCTTGTATTCTTGTTCGATGGGAAAGCGAATATTGTTGTAGCATTGGGGAGGTTAAAATTTAAAACTCCCAGTAATTTTCAATGGCAAGCCAAGAAAAACAAAAAAAAATTAAGGAAAACCGTAAATTTTACACAAAATCGGCTTTTGACAAAATTAATTTTGGATTTTGGTGGAACTCCGTAGATATATGACATTTTCACTGGTTGTATATATTAGTAGGTATTTTCTATACACGATAAAAAAAACATTGATTTGTTTTGAACTGTTTACGGACAATTTAGGTTTCCAATTTTTTAAGTTTTTTTTTCTATGAATATCAATAACAATTTATTTGTTTTGTAAAAAATCATGAAAATTTAATACAAGGCTCCTATCCTCTCTCCTAATATTATAATGTTACAATGATATTTGAAAAATATTTAAAAAAAACATACACATTTTTTTTTTTTAATAAGCATTTAAAGTTCGAATTTGGACAAAATGTATAAATTTAAAATTTAATAATTATTCTGTAGTTAAAAATTTATAAAATGTTCAACTTTTAAAGCTAACAATTGAAAATTTAAAACAAGATTCTAGGTTATTTATAAATTACTTTATTCACAATAATATCATCGAATATACCTACTTACTAATATCATAGTCTGACTTATGGTCTTCCCTCAGAAGCATTTTTCTTATATAATGATATTATATCATTGAATTCTAATTTAACACCATCCTTCCATCAATTACAGTGACCCATTTGTAACCTACTGTACAGCAGAGCGACATTCACTTTTTAGTATTTTACAATATATTAGAATCCTTGTATTACATTTTCACACTTTTCAACCCAATAAATAAAACTTTATTGACAATTTAAGAAAAAAAAACTAAAAAAAGTTGGACAAGTGGATGTCGCTCTGCTGCACACCTGTACAGTAGGTAACAGTGGGTCACTGTAATAGATGGTGTTAAATTTGAATTAAATGATATATAATATAGGAAAAAACGATTCTGAATAAAGACCGTCGACTGCCTATGATATATTACCTGCAAGTATATTTGATGATATTATTGCTATTAAAGTAATTTATTTACCTACTTACGTGGAACCTTGTTTTACATTTTTAATCCTTAGCTATAAAAGTTAAACATTTTATACGTTGTTAACTAACTACAAAATAATAATTAAATTTAAAAAATGAAAATTTTGTAAAAATCGAACTTTCAATGTTTTTTGAAAAAAATTTGCAAATTTATTTTTAATATTTTTCAACTGCTATGAAACAATATATTTTTTTTAAATTATATTTGTTGTTTAAAAAATTTTGAAAATGTTATACAAGGCTCCTAATATATTGTTACAATGATATTTGAAAAATATAAAAAATCCTTTTTCACAATTTCTTTTTATACGCATTTAAAGTTCAAATATTGACAAAATATGTAAATATGACGAAAATGTGCAAATTATTCTGAGTTAGAAATTTATAAATTTCTCCTAGATTTTAAAGTATAATACAAGATTCCCAAGTTTGTCTAACTTTATCAAAAAAAATATATATACAAGAATGTCAAATTAAATTTTTATGAGCGTTTGAAGTTCATATTTTTACAACATTGGTCAAGCTTTTTTACACAACAAATACAATTTTAGTGACATTCATAGAAAAAACAAATATATACTTAATAGAATAGAAACTATATGTACATATTTTTATGATTTTCTGGTGGTACAAAAATACAAACTTGCATCACCACATTTAAAATAACTTACGCCAACTTACGCCACCAAATAAGAATATAATGTTCTATTGCTCAATAATTTAGTCTTTAATAAGCATGATTATGTTGAAGATTTATTGAACCTTGTTGACTCGAATCTTGAGTAGAGAGCCACCCACTGACAACTATACACTGTAGTCCTGTAATACCTGTATAAAAGGCATATTATAATGTGTTTTAAGTTCGTCATTTAAAAGTTGTTCAAAAAAAAAAAAAACAAATAATAGAAGTTTACTCAATATTAATTGAGGTTTAAAAATCCTATTGTGATAGTTGACACTTAAATTTATAAGTTAGGTAAAACATCATAAATTAAATACATTAAACATGAAATATTAAATTTATTCTTGGTGTTTAATTATATAATGTTCGTCTTTACAAGATTTCCAAAAGTTTGACAACCGTTCATCTTTATTGCTACAAAAGTATCTAAAATCTTCCAATAGTTTATTTTGAAACTGTTCATCACCAGTTGCTGGATTTGACGACTTCCATCTACGACTTACCATATGATTCCATGCCCAAAGAAAACCAACCTAAGTCAAGAATCAATATTATTAAATTGTATCACTATACAAAAGCATAATGCCATATATGTTGTGGTGCAGTAGCATCAAATTAAAAACTGCTAATAATATCAGGCTATTTAGATAAACAATACACATTTCCTGTATTTAAAATTGCTAGTCTTGCAGTTAGGTACTTAGTTTTAGGTATCTATAATAATTTATGATATAATAATAATATAAAATTATGAAACTTTTCATGAAACAATATCTTTTTTTCTCTTTTTATTTTTAATACACATACCTTTACTGATTATTTATATGTTTATTGCATTTATATCCAATATATGTATTTTGTTTAATAAATAATTCATTGTTACAAGCTAAACTTATATTTTTTGTATAACTATGATTATTTACCTAAAGATTTATATTTTAATAATAACTAATAGGTATTCAAAAATGTGTTACTTTTAACTAACCCTTTTTTCTATTTTTGGATCATTTTCTTTTGGTAAACTATGGTATACATGCCGAGATATATACTCCATGTGAGGGCTAAATTGTAATTCTTGCTGATTACCACTAGCTTCTAATTCGTTTAACCCTTGATCAGGAGAATCATTTTTCTCCTTAGCTTCTTCAATCAAATCAGAAAGTATTAACACAAACACGTTACCTGCGAATAAATTTAAAAGCACTTATCTATTACATGTATTACATAATTTCAATTTGATGAAAATTAATTAACTTATATAAAATATATATACCAGTCGTCTCTATAACTCAAATCGATAACTATCTTTAAAGGTAGTAAAAATAAATTCGACTTATTTACTTTTCGAGTATATACTTCAAACTCAACATAAAAACACTTAAAGGGACAAGAAAAAAATTTGAGTAATCGAAGACAATAATGTATAACATTTTAAATTAATTAAATATACTATCTACTAACCTGTAAGATGAATATATTGATTATGATATGATTCATTTCCATTAGTTTTTGAATTACATATTACAAACCCAAATCTGTAAAGTATAACTTCTTGGAATAATAATAATCTTCGGAGCCATGAATCTTCAGGATATTCTGTATAAACATGTGCACAAACTAGTAAATATTTTTAAGTAGGAAAAATAATAATAAAAATTAAGAAACTAAATTGTATTTAACTTAATATTTGTTTTGAGTAATAATGTCATAAAATATATAATTTGTAAAATAAATTTGTTAAAAGTCTGTAATAATGTATAGGCAAAAATTTGAATTTGATAAAAATGGATGAAGTTAATGTTCTTATCCAAAATTTAGCCATAGGAGAAATTTAGTACAAAGATATTTTTATGTTGTAGGCAATTTTATTCTCTCTTAGAATTCTACAAAAAAAATAGTTTAGTTTTGATCATATGAATAGTCACTGTATTTATTTATAATGTTAAGAAATATTGTAAATCAACTGAGTGGAGTTATATATTGAATACTGATATCTACTAGTATCTACTACAATATATAACTGTACTTAAATATAAATTAAATAGGTATTCATTTCTAATATATATATAGGGTGATATTTCAATCATGCTCACCCTATTTTGATGCTTAAATTATACCCATATTCAAATTTTGATTTTGGAATTTTTAAAAACACATGGATACCATATTTTTGAATACTTGAGATATTTTTTACCAGTTAAAGATGATCTTGTGACAAACAAACTTCTGTTTTTCAAATAAGAAAGACCCTTTTTCACTTTTAATTATTCAACTGATATTTCTTTTTTGAGAATTTTGATGTATCTAAATCAAAATTAAATCGAGTAGTTTCTTAGTTACAAAACTGTATATTAGTATTAAGGATAATAATATGTTTATGTTAATGGGCTAAGTTGATGGGGGGGGGGGGGTGAGATTATAATAATTATAATTATAATGATTTGATTATTTTTGAACATTTTAGTAATTACTATTGATTGATAGATCAGTATAAATAATTTGTAAAAATAATCCAAGTATAACAAATAATAAATCTAATATTACATATTATAGCTTATATTTTTATAAAACCATAGTTAAGGATTATTATCCTTAGTACAAACATTTTAATAATACAGAAACTACTTATTAGAATTTTAATTTGGATACATCAACATTTTCAAGAAAATTACCAGCTAAATAATTTACAGTAAAAAATTGGGAAAATAGATGTTTGTATTGCCACAGAACACTCATCAAGTAGTACAAAAATATCTGGTATACTTAAAATTCTATAAAGCAAAATTTGTAATATTAAAGGGAAAAAAAGGGTGAGCATATTTAAAAAATCAGCCTATAATATAATACTAAAAAATAAGTACAAAAATATAATACTTATAAACAATTTTTTTTTGTTAAATATTTTGAGTTATGATAAGTTTTAAACAAATGTTTAATTTCATATAAGGATACTGTTTAATTTTTGTTAATGCTAAAATTAATTTTATTACCATGAAATAAACAATTGTGTTCTTCTGTCACTAGACATTCCAAATTGAGTGGTACAAATACTGGACCACGCAGAGGATCAGATTTTAATGTATATGGCAAAGCAAAAGGGTCAGCTGGTAATGGTATCAACTGAAATCCACCAGTTTGTGCTTTACGTGCCCAATTATAAACCTAATAATTAAACAAAAAAAAAGGTATAGTTAATTAAAAATAAAAATTGTATTCATTATTCATACCAAATCAGCTACAACTGAACCAGATGCTGCTACCCATCGAGCTATAATTTCATACGCCTGATCACAACGATAAAGTGATTGATATCTGGCATGACCCCATTCCACGCGATCACTTTTACTATTAACATCCATCTCTAAATGAGCTTCTTTGTACCATGGTACTGTTTAATGAAAAATCATAGTAATATAATAAAACGTATATACAAAATGTTTTAAATATTATACATTTTTCTATATCACTGAACATAATGTTAAACAAATAAGTGTATGAATAAAATATGAATTTTTATAATTTGAAACATTTTATCTAATCTTAACCAGAAATACATAAATGTAATTTTAATTACAGACAATAATCATAAGACTTAGCAGGTAAAAATCATTTGTTGGGTAAAAAAGCTTGAAAATTTAATCCAAGGCTCCTACTATATTGTTACAATAGCAGTTGAAAAATATGAAAAATCCTTAGTCATAATTTTTTTTTTATAAGTATTTAAAGTTCAAATCTTGACAAAATACGGAAAAATCACGAAAATTAGCAAATTATTTTGAATTGAGAATTCATAAGAATTTTTCTTTATAAATCTAAGATTTGAAAATGTAATACAAGATTACTTATAAGTTTATCTACCTTTATCAGAAAATAGATGTCTACAATCAAATTAAATTAATTTTTTATGAGCGTTTGAAGTTCATAATTTTTACAATTTGGATATTCACTTGATTTAGAAGCGGTTTTGTTATTTTATTATTATTCAAAAACGAATAACTGTAGATACATGAAAAGTTTACTGAATGTTTATATTTTCATTTTCTATCCACCACACAATTTTGAAAATATTTTGACTTTTTTGAGCTGTTTACGGACATTGTCAGTTTTCAATTTTCTTAGTCTTTTCTTCTCTAAATATCAATAAAATTTTATTTGTTGGGTAAAAAAGCATGACAGTTTAATGCAAGGCTTCTGATATATTGTAACAAGAGCAGTTGAAAAATATTAAAAATATATAGGCACAATTATTTTTTTTTATAAGCATTTTAAGTTTGAATTTTGACAAAATGTATCATTTTAAAATTTAATAATTTATTTGTAGTTTAAAATTTAAAAAATGTTCAACTTTTATAGCTAATGATTGAAAATGTAAAACAAGGGTCCACGTAAATAGGTAAATATATAAATTACTTTATTCACAATAATATCAACAAATATACTTTGTAATATCATTTATTATGACTGACTGTTTTAGCTCAGAATCGTTTTTCTTATACAATGATATTATATCATTGAATTCAAATTTAATACTATCCATTATACAGTGACCTACTACTGTACAGTAGAGCACCTTTTTTTATATTAATTTTATTTAAAACTTCAATAAGTAAAAAAAAATATGAAATTACGTAATTACCTACATGGAACATTGGATCAATTCCTTCAATAGGTACTTGCAAGATGCCCTATATTGTGTATACCAAAAATAATAATAACAAAAAAGAAGGGAAAAATCATTAAAAAGAGATGTGTGCACATTCCCAAAGTGACAATGAAAAAAATGATAGCTACGATAGTTTATTTTTAAGCTTTTTAAGCAAATATAGGTTTGTAATTATTTTTTATTTTAACATTGCGTATTATTTATATTTTCTATAATAACTCTATTTTCCTTATTTTGGACCTCTAATGCTCACACATTTAAAATACATTTGCATCTCGATTGTTAATCGAAAATATTAAACATTTTTTTTTAAAGAATTACTTTCAATACCTATATAAAATAATTACTTCAAACATACGTATATAACACATTGCACAACTTGTACCATCGCCATTTATTAGTTTTATAATTTTACCTCAATATTAATTATTAATGTTGAAATTTTACCTAGCATTATGTAACTTTTAGAAAAAAGGTAAATGTGCCAAAATTAGTTTGTTTAATTAAAAAAATATGTATAGTAAATAATTTATTATACATTAGTACACGTCTTACTTATTTATTCAGAACTCTATTTTTAATGAGACATTTTGTTGTACCCCTTTATAGTGAGTATGAAAATTAGGGCCATTAGACTGCAGCATTATCTACCGGTAAACTCCTAAACCAAACACATTATGAATATACGGTTGTGAGTATACCTCTATAATCTACCGTGGTTCCTACACAATATATGTTGGAATTTAAATGACACAAACTCATACAATTGTCTAAAAAGTTTAAAAAAATAAAAATTCATATAAATTATTTTTAATAATTTAATTAGTTATTATACTTTTTTTCAAATCAGTTTTGTATAAATATGTTTCTACTGTGACAAAATTGAAAATTGTGTCTTTGACATGTAATTCTGTTTAAACTTAAACCCCTAAGATTGCCTGACTTACCTTCTAGAATATAATTGTGGAGTTTTTTGAATTTCTACCTTAGATTTACACAAGTAATAATGTTTAAGATTGTAAAATTGTGGTAAATTATTCTCTGGCCTTAATAAATATTTTAAACGCCTCTATTAAGATCTAGAAAATATGTCAGGCACTGATATTTAACAGAATTAAATTGTACATAACAAACCCTCATAATCTTGTCAAAGCGGAGGTCTTAAAACAATATGCTTATGACCGACTACGGACTAGAACCACTTTAAATAAATATGTATACAACTGTACAATTGTTTTTAAGAATTGTTAAAATTTAAAATTATTATTTTTATTAAATTATTTTCAATTTTTTTTTTTTTGCTGTTATATAGTTTAGGTTACAATTTTTGATTCATTCTATTGATATAAAATAACTAACCTTCCCGCTTATTTCCATGTTGCAGGGACTCTGGTAGTGACAAATTATCCTTTAGAAAGTCTATATTTTTTGGGTAATCAATAGGCTGTTTAACTTCCACTTCAACCCATTCATTTTCAAATGCTTGAAAATCATGTGTAGGGAAAGAAGCTAAAATAAAAATGTATAAAAATTATAAGTTAAAATTAAGTTAAGTAATAAATTATAATGACATTATTTACGTTGACCAGTAGGTGATTCACATGAAGGAAAATAATACAAATAAAATCCATCAATGAAAGGATGAGAAAAATCTCCAGATGCATGGCAAATTAATCCTTCACATAAAATTTCCTAGTAACAGATTAAATGAATATTATCAAATTAAAATTAATAATTTAGAAAATATTAGATAACTCTCGTATTCACCTGTAAACGTTCAACTGCTTCATCTCTAATATTTAATGTCTTTAAATTGTTCATAAGCCATGTAATTGCATCATTACTAACAAATGTATTTTGTGGTAATCCCATGTGTCTGTTAACAAAACCAACACCTACTTGTGTATTACACAAATGTTCTACTAGCTCGACGTTGGAAATATCTTCTTTTAGCAATTCAGAGTTAATTAAATTGATTGGACTTGTAAATTAAATACAATCAAAAATTATAAAAATAAATATTAATTATTTATTAGTTAAATAGTTTAAATTTTTTTAAATATATACCTTTCAATATCATCAATAATTTCATCTTGAACAGGATTTTCAGGAAATAATGATGCAATTGATTTATCATACACATTAGAACCTGACCTAAATATTTATAAAAAAAAATTCAATCCTCAATAATATATTATGACTAATTGATATTTAAAAATGTATTTTAATAACAAATTCTAATAATTTTAGTAATCAAACCTTGGACGAGGTTTATCCAATGGACGTATAGAGTTGACACGATCTCGATAAGGTGATGTATCACTTGAACTCTAAAATATATAAAACAGGTATTCTTTTTAAAATATCCTTTTAGTCATTTAAATAACATATTCAAAACTAACTTTAAGGCTGACTGTTGTTGATCTTTTAATACGATTTATCCAAGTTTCAATAAACTTAACAAATTTATTTGTAAAACAAACTTGTTCTTCCATTGTAGGTATTTTATAAATATCGCAGTAAAATTTATCATCTAAATGATTCATAATAGTTTGTGTAACATCTTGACGCAAAGGCAGAAGATACATGCGAAACCGCCAGTACTTTAATTTCTACAAAAAAAATCATAATCAAAATAATAAAAATAATTTCTGATTAGATTTATAATTAAAAATAAATAAATACTTTTTATTCTAATATTATAATTTATGCTAACATACACAAATATACAAAAGGAGGGTTGAATGTCTACATTGAGATTCTGTGAAGCAGTGGCTAAAAAAAATATATTTATTTGAGAGGGGAGATATGATTAAAATAGTTATTCTCCCTCCACTCGAAATACATGAATACATCTATCTTATTTATCTATGACCTTCCTGATGCCAAACATCCCAGTATTTTATGATAAAGTGATAAATGGAAATACATAACTATCTATAACCATTAGGGCTGGATTTAGGAGGACCCTGGGGAGATTTTTTTGTATTGTCAACGTTTTTTAATAAATTTGAAAAATTAGAAACTTCTTTACTACAATGTGCTGCAAATTATCTTGTAAGCATTCACCCAAATGTTTTTATACAGGGTTTTTGAGGAAAATAATTTGCTGCATACATTTCCTAATATAGAACTAGTGTTGCGTATATATTTGGTTTTGATGGTGTCCAACTGTAGTGGGGAACTATACTTTTCAAAAATGAAGTTAATAAAAAACCAACTATGAACTTAGATGACACAAAGTTGACTATCAGGCCTTGCACTGTTAAGTATCGAATGTGACATACTTAGATCATTGGATTTTCCCAAGGACCTAGTTGTACAATTTGCGTTGAAGAGATCTTGTAAAGTTATCATATGATAAAAATTATTATCTAATATCAGTATATATAAAAACTGTACATATCTAATAAATGTAATTTTATTTATTAACTATAAGCTAAAAAAAAAAAAGGTCAAGGGGGAGGTATATGGGAGATATGTCTTCCAAATCTCCCGACGTAAAATGTAAATACGCCACTGCTGTGAAGAACATATTACAATTTTAATTAGATAGGTAGTATTATTTTTGAACTAAGTATTTAAAAAATTTAACCTCGTGTAAATCATAGTCCATATCCCCACGGGCACATAAATAATGATCCATGTAATTCCAATTAAAATTTTCTAATTTTTCAGTAATAAATGATATCCATGAAATTCCATAAGTTGAATGGTCTGGAGCTTGAAAACGATAGCGATATTGTATTTCAAATGTTGCATATGGAAATCTAAACATCAACAATATTAAGCCTTAGAAATATGGGGTACAAATAATTATGAAAGTATAACATATTTAATAATAAATACATATTAATATACATAATATATGTATATTATTTAAATATATATAAACACGTATATAATCATCATTTTGAAATATGATTCATGCATAGCTTAATTTTAATGAATTTAGGTTGAACATTTACATTTATGTGTCAATAATTGAAGGATCTATTAATATTTATTAACAGTTAATGATTATAATAGTACCCAAGTACCTAGTAAACTATTCTGAATAAAATATGTAACATATTTAATAATTACTCTAAAAGTCATTGTACCTAACTGCATAAGACTATATAGGTATTATTGTAATATTGTATTTGCTATATAACAGTTATAAACAAGAAATCCAAAATTCTTAGAATATAAATGTTTAAGTAAATTCTTGGTTACTCAGGCAGATCAAACTATAGCGCTTATGGCCTCAAATAAAGAAATTATATCTTAAAACCAAATGTATGTATATAACTTATATGCTCAAAAACTACTCAATTAAATTTGACAAAAATCTCATATTCTTTTTAGAAATGTTAGAAAAGTTTAAAGAGTAAGTAGTTTATCCAATATTAAAAAATATACTAAGTGCTAAATCCAATTCATAACATGCGGAAAGCCATGGGTCAAATTATTCAATTATTCATACTGACTCCAAATTGCCCGTGAACCAAGATACACTAAAAAGAGATACACATATATAGCGTATATAGTATATACTATATACCGTACTCTAAGATTTACCAAAAAAAAAAAAAAAAAACTGCACACGAGCAAATTTAAGTTATATTTATATTACACTTATATAATATTGCCAATGTAAAAAAATCTCAGTTTTCACCTAGGTGACTTTGCCCGGGTAACACTGATATAATCAGAATTATAAGATATAATCAAATATCAATCAAATATTGATATTGTAATGTTTCAACAATATGATGCATTTTTATTTGAATGAATTTTGACTTAAGTCCCATCATATGTGGCTTATCTCAGCCTCTTAGAATATAAGTTTGCTACTGATCAATGATGACTTTAATTTTAATTCCTGACTCATAAATAACATTTTCATAGAATTTTGACTTAACAAAGTTACTCATGCTTATATTGTAAATATTTGCAAACATAGCTTTTATAGATTGCATTTATCAATTCATAGCATTTGTAACTTTTACATGTGTAATAAATGGGTTTACAAATTTACATATAAATAGATTCACCTAAATACATTTAAAAACTTATCCATTAATTATTAATCAATTTGACCATAATATGTATATTGTATGTTTCATGAATAATGTTTACTAATTTGTTTAAACAATGGTCACTCTTAATAGTACTTAATAGCATAAATAAAAAGTCAATCATTGATACTTATTGTTACTAAATAATAATTAATACTTAACAAATTAAAATATTATTAACAATATTATTAAATTTTACTATTATTTTGCATAACTGCTAAAAGACATTTTGGAACAGATTTTTCATAGTTTTGGACTTATAATTAAAGTAAAATTGTATAGTGGGTCATAATTATATTAATATAAAATGTGGATCATAAACAAGACTCATTACTAAAAGAGCCTGACATGATCAAAATTAGCACTTGAAAATCATTTAAAGAATCAAAAAAAAATCTCAAAAATGATTACTGTCTCCCTTCCAAATCAAAAAAATATAAATTTGATAATATGTTTTTAAGACTAAAAACATTGATGTTAGTTTTTGTCAGTGGTTGTCGCTTGCATTGTTTTAAAATGTACATTAAAAAAAGCGAGTCAGCTGGTGTAGCTTTTCTGTATAGTAGGTTACATGTGTAATGTTAAATATGAATTCAATGATATATTATCATTGTATACAAAAAACGATTCTGAGCGGACACGGTTTGTCAGCCAAGGATAATTTATATTATTATTATTAATACAGTAGTTGATAAGTTGAATTAATATTGTTTGTGAATAATAATATACATTAGAAGTTTTAAGTACCCACGAATAAGATTTTTAAATTATAGCATAAAACTTAAATCGTTATTTTCTATAAATATCTAATTTCATCCAAACTTGAACTTCGAATTATAAAAAAAAACTGTGTTTTAATTTTCAATCCTTAGCTATAACAATTGAACATTTTATACATTTTCAACAACAAAATTATTTGCAAATTTAAAATTTGATAAACTGTCTCAAAATTTGAACTATAAATGTTTAAAAAAAAAAAATACATATTATGTATTTTTAATATTTTTTAACACTGTCATTGTAACAATATGTGAATAGCCTTATATTATATTTCCAAGCTTTTTAACACAACAAATTCAATTTCATTGTTATTTAAAGAAAAAAAAATAATAAATTTAAAATTGATAAAATCTGTAAAAAAAATCAAAATATTTTGAAAATGTTATCAAGTATAAAAAATTATAAAATAAACATATGGTTCAAAATTCAAGTTTCTACAATTATTCGTTTTTAAATTGCAACAAAATAAGAAAATTGGTACTTGAGAAATCGAGTGAATACCCAATGTTGAAAAGAATTTTTATGAATTTCTAACTCAAAATAATTTGCACATTTTCGTGATTTTTACGTATTTTGTCGAAATTCGATCTTTAAATGCTTATAAAAAAAAACTTGTGGCTAGGTAGGTATGTATTTTTAATATTTTTCAGATACCATTGTAAACAAATATTAAGGGGCCTCGCTATGGCATTGATTTAAGGAGAATCATTTAGGCAATTTCCAATCTCGTCGTCGCCATCCGAGATCTGTGTTAGTCGTAAATTTTTATTATATATTTAGATAAAAGTTACAACTTTTGGTCTTTATAAACGATAAGTAGTATTACTTATAACTTCTGGTTTTTATAAACGATAAGTATTATTACTACCACTCCCGTAATAACTTGCAGACTGCAATGGGGCGAACTGTGTGATACCCTGCCAAATGGGCATTTTACAATACATTTAGGGCACAACTTACTGTACTTACTGAATTGATTTGAAAAATGTAATATCTTTTACCCTGAGGCATAAAGATCCCAATTACTACGGTACTGACTATACTCTATTCACAATGAGATCATTACTCAGCGGCGACCAGTTTTTGTCTGGCGGCGGTCAGACATATGGTAAGACGCCGTTCCCACTACGGCAAGGCGCCGGGTGTTGCCATGGAACAATAGGCCATCGAGTAATGATCTCATTGTGAATTGAGAATAAGTATAAAAATGTACACACAAACTCAATGGATTAACAAAGAACAAAAATATGATTGTGATAATTTATAAAAAAAAAATAGCCTTATTAATGTATGAAATTCTTAGTGTAGGCTGCCATTTTAAAACAAAAAGTTGAGTTAAACTATTCTAGAACAGCAAGGATTTTGAAAAAAAAAAAATCTTGAAAATAGTAAAATACTTTTTGCTATAATGAGTGTTTTACGTTAAATAAATCACCCTATATAGAAAAAATGTGGATCATATTATAACTTACCTTGGTCTGTAACGTGTCACTTGAATTTCTGAACCAAACAAAGTAACAGTGTGAACTATTCTCCCAATACTCAGCCGCATTTCAATAAATCGTTCATCATGAACTGTTGATCTCATGACAATACTATTAATCTTCTTTTTATGTTCTGGATTTTCGTCTTTACTTACAACCAACTGGAAACCCTATTAAAAAAAAAAAAAAAAATGGGTAAGAGAATACCTTTAATACATCAGATATGAGTTGTGAGATCTTACTTGAGATAAGCGTTGACATATCATTTGATAAAAAACTTCTAGAGCAGATAGTGGTTGACGATAAACGGCTCTTTGCAAGGCAACTTCAGCATTTACATAATCAGGTAATAGATTGTAATTTGAAAATAAATAATATGATTGAAGATTTACTTCATCCGGAAAATAATCAGTTGTTATTGGCAAACATGCAGGGAAAACTAGTGATTTCCAATCAACGCCTGTTAAAATACACTTTATTGTAAGTATGTCTTAAATATGTTGACATTTGTTGGAAATTCAATTGCATAAACATTTATTTAATGTTTCTTTTTATAGTACTTATTTCAGTTTACACTCATAATAAAATAGAAAAATTTAAATTAATTTACAATAATTGTTAACTACACTTTTTTTTTAGAGAAATTATAAAATAAATAAAAAAGTAATTACAGACAAGCCAAAAGAAAATGGTAATTACGAGGGACGTCCAGAAAGTAAGGTTACAACATGTGTTAAAAATTGAAAAATGGATATATTTAAATGAAATTTACAAGATAAGTGTCAAAACATGTCATTATTTCTCTACATAATCGCCATTAAGATCAATACATTTTTTAAGCCTAGGGACCAGTTTTTGTATACCCTCGTCGTATAAGTTCCGCTCCACCTCCCGAAGCCAATTTTCGACAGCATCCTGGACCTCCTAGTCATTTGAAAATCATTGTCCAACCAAAAACTCCTTCAATTTATTGAAAAGATGATAATCCGATGGTGCCAGGTCCGGGGAGTAGGGTGGGTGAGTCACAATATCCCACCCAAATGAAACAAGCAGGTCCTGAGTGAGACGGGCGGTATGAGGTCTAGCGTTGTCATGAAGGAGTGACACACCACGAGTCAGCATTCCTCTTCTTTTGTCTTTGATTTTTTTTTTCAACTTCTTGAGTGTCTCACAGTATGCAGCTGCATTTATGGTGGTTCCTTTAGGCATAAAATCGACCATATACCCTTTACGGTCCCAAAAAACAGAGGCCATGATCTTTCTCTCTGAAAATTGGACTTAGAATTTTTTGGTTGATGGTAAATGGGTATGGCGCCACTGTAGAGATTGCCTTTTTGACTCGGGAGTATAGTGACACACCCACGTTTCGTCACCAGTCACAATTGAGTCAAGAAAAGTTTCACCCTCACTTTCATACCGTTCAAGAAATTCAAAATATCTCACACCTACGGTAGGTGGAGCGATTGGAGGACGAACCGTTTGACGCATTTGGTTGCTGTGACGACATTTCGTAACGGACTGAGGTGTTTGATGATTTGTTTTGATCGTTAGAAAATTCTCTACATGATAGTGGTGACAACTCTAAAAAACAAAATTCCCTTCGTCCTACACAGCCCTTGTAACCTTACTTTCTGGACGTCCCTTGTATTAAAAAAATTTAATTTGCTACCTTAACGCTAGGTATAACACTTATCTGTAATTACTCTACTTTTCAGGAATACTATTCAAATTGTACATATTTCTTTATTTATAAACATAAACAAGTAAATAAAAATAGCTTAAGATAAAGATAATAATTGAATTACCTATATCTAATTAAAGACATCATTATATAAATGTCATGTATATTATATACAAATTACATACTGATCAATTATATTGAAATTATCAATTTTTTCTAAATATTAAACTGTTTTACTATATTAAAGTAAAAAAAATTCAAGTAAATATAATAATTAACTGAACTAAAGTGTGTTAAATTGGATATTAATTTGATACTAATATAATTATTTAAAAGTAGACAGTAGTAGATCATAGAATTATTAATGTCAATTCAGAGAAAAATGAATGTTTTTTAGATCAACTGAACAAATAAACTTCTTAATAGCACATACTTTTAATTATTTATTTATTAAATATTACTGTGGGAACTTTTGTAAGAGACTTATTTAATTGTTTTCTTTTTTTATCATTTGCCTATGACAGCTTAAACTTAAAATTAAAGAATGAAACAATATTAAAATTAACAAAAATAACTTATACGACTGAGTAATGAGTACCTATACAATATTTTTGTAAATAAAAAAAAGGTTATCATAATTTTTTTTAAATTATTAATTTTGTACATTATAATTTATAACTGGATTATATTTTGGTATATCTAAAGGATGCCAGTGGCGTGGCCAGGAATTTTTTATGGGAGGGGCTAAGTATACAAATACAATATTATGTCTTTTATTTACACTTTTCATTTTTTTATTAATCTTGATAAAATTCTAAGATCAACACGGTCAATGGGGGGGGGGGGGCCTTAGCCACCCCTTGACTATGCCACTGCGAATTTTTGATACAAGCAGAAAATAATGATTAAACACTAATAAAAAGAGATCTAACTATAATTTATCCTTGCATTGATATATTATAGTTAGATAATTAATTTAGTATTAAATATAATAATATAATAATATTACACGGAAAATATTTCAGATAAGTAATAAACAGTAAATAAATTAAAATTATAATAATATGTATTATAATGAAAACCAAACCATATGAAACATATGAATACAAAATATAGTTATAATATTTAACTAAAAAATGTTGCATAATTTTAAAAATTAATTAATTAAATATTTACTATTTACATCACACTAACCTGGTGTACACATATTTGTCAATTCAAAATCACTCGAGCACTCACAAGTACTTGTGATATTTTGTTTTTCCTCAATTTTATATTTTTGTAGTTTTATTATGTTTACACTTACTAAAAAAAGGAAATGAAGTAGTTGATTAAATTAAAATTATAATGAAGTACAATAACTAAAATCATACATTTTTTTTCTAGTATTTGAATGTTTTCCATTTCACATAAATCCTCTGTATGACCAGAAAATTCTAAATCGTCATACAACTTTTTTGTGCTTTTAGGTTCTAAATAATAAAAATAATATTTATTATTTTAATGATAGTCATTAATTCTTGTTTATTTTCACAATAAAATTGGTTACTTTCTGGAAATGTATGACTCCACCTTCTCCGATTTGATGTTAACTTTACGTGATATCGTGATTTGTCAAATGGATTAATAAGACCTCGTACACGTACAAATTTTAAATTATCTTGTTTACTTATAGCCAATTTATCATACTTTTTCAAGCTGTCATCAATACTACGACTTCTATTTCCTGATTAAATATTAGCAAAATAAATCATTTAAAATTATTGAGTCAATAAAAAAATCTTAAACTATAATTACTGTTTAATGGTGGCAAATTTGTGAATTCGCACTGGCTTTTGGGTGGAGGAGTAATACTGCGTTGTTTCAGAGGAGACAGACTACGGCTTAGAGCAATTGATTTATCAGAATTTACATCAAAACTGCATGTACTAAATTTTTTTTTTCTCGATGCACTAATTTCGTTCAATTTGTTTAGTGGCAGAATGTTATTGGTATTACTGAAAAAAAAAAAAGTATGTCTTAAATGGTAAGAATATTATAATATTGTATGTTAGTAGTAGTTACCAGTTACAAGTTTATAACTATCATTCATTTAGCTACTTACTATGAAATATAATTATAACTAACCATTTTTATAAAAAAAATTAATTACAAATTTAATCTAAACAAGACTTTCATTATTTTGATGACTCTAATGTTTAAAATAATTTTTATTATTATTTTTAATGAAATGTATATTACCTGAACCTACTAGGCATCCTAGTTTTAATTTTTTTGTTAAAAACACCATGATCATAATTTATATAATCTTGTGCAGAGTTGGTAAACCTCTTTCGCAAAGAAGCTGTTAAACTATTTGATGACACTGCTCTTAAACCCATTTTCGGGCGGTTTAATAAAATGTTTGAAAATTGATTAGGTACTTTAATCCGAGGCACAAATGTAGATCTCTGTGGCATGTGGTTACTTCTGTAAAAGCTAAATTTTTATCTTAATTATTTTACAGTTATAAATTCAAAAACAATTAAATAAATTAGGGCAATGGTTTAATACAATAAAAATTAAATAAATAGAATTGTACTAACTTAGCTATCAATCATTAACAGTGGCGTATTTACGGGGGGGGTCCCCGGGTCTGGACCCCCCCCCCAGAAAAAAATATAATATAATATAATTATTACATCGTAACTTGTATGTGTTTTTTTTATATTATAACCTTGTAGGTACCTAATATTTAGACCCCCCCCACAAAAAATTTCAAAATACGCCACTGATCATTAATGTGTTATGTACTTAGATATCTGGATGCGTAGTATAAGCAAAGCCCGTATAACAAATAATAAATAAATAAATAAATAAAATAGGGGCAAAGCCCGACGTAAAATAAAAATAAATTATTAATTAATACAAACAGCCAGTACAATGAAAATTTAGTTAAACTGATTCCAAACTATAATTATTGTTCTCTTAAGATGGGAGGGTGGAGTAATCATTTGCTTGGTACATCAGTGAGTCAATGAGATTAAATAAAACTATATAATTGACATCATGTCTAGATAATAGATGTAGCCAATGGAATGATAGAGCGAGTCAAATGAAAAGCACCTCTGAAGTTAATAAGGAAAAGAAGAGAACAGCAGAACCACCAGAAAGAAGTCTTAGTCATAATAACATACAATAAAATTAAAATTATGATATAATTTTGTTAAACAAACCTTAAATTTATCCAATGTGGAATACTGCAGTCATCTCCTAAAGATTCATCACGATTTTGAAACTAAACAAATATATAAATGTTCTTAAGAAATTTTAAATAAGTATCCTTCCATTTTTTTAAGTGTAAAGAAAAATTAATAATGTGAAAATTTGATTTTGATAACTCACTCATTCACTTGTCGCAATAGGGTTAAATTATATAGGGTTAGTTTTCAGTTTTTTCTCATTATTTCAAAAACTAAAACCTATATATTTTAGTTTTTACTGTGGTTTAAATAATTTAAAAATATAAAATAATACAATAAAACTCATTTTTTATTTTGTCCAAAACTACAGGAAAATATACGCATCATAGACAATGTCTATCAAATGTAGAATAAAAATGTATTCGATGTTTTAATAAATTATAAATATTTTATAATATAAGTAAATTAAACATTTTTATTACCTTAATACATTTTTTTCATAAATTTGAAAAAAAAACCGCCTTGAGTCATAACTTGACCCTATGGCGGCACATGAATGGGTTGAGTTATCAAGTCAAAATTTTCGCAAAATTACTTTTTCTTATCACCTAAAAAAATGGAAAGGTAATCATTTTGAATTTTATTAATAATCAGTTTCTTTGGACCACCCTAATAAATATATGTAAAATAGTATTATGAAACAATAAGCTAAGCCCTGCTATCCTATCATATTGATCGGCCGCACAAATCTTTTAGTTGATAAAAATAGTACAAAATGTTGTTTTTAGAAATGATTGAATGTTTAAAATATGTTATACCTAAAGCAGATGTTAATATGTATATTTAGGTGGTGGATCCCGGTAGCCTGTTTGTAGCCCCATCCCCTCATTTTATTCATCTGGATACTTCTAAATTATTTAAATTGTTTGATTTAATAAAATAAAAGCCAATTAATATGCACATTTTACTATTGTACAATTTCAAGCAAAGCCAATTTAGTGAATGCATGGGAGTTTCGAGCATCTACACGCGCCATGGCGAAACTAATATAAAAAGGTCAGAACAAAATCAGCACAAACACTCAGCAGCCAATTATGTCATAAGTTTTCATGAGAGATTAATTTTTTGTCAGCCAATGAGCAGAATAAACAGTGAATATCAAAAAGAAGACTTAGGATTAGTGACTCATAAACACAGATGGGTTTTCTGATTGTTTCACTAAATTAAAAATAAAAAAGACCAATGTTTAAAATGGTCAATCATTTTAGTCTAGATAATTATAAAATGTAATTTAGCGATAGTATTTGTTGTGTGTTTAAATGGAATCAAAATCAAATTATTTATACCTCGGAACTAGGTAACTGTTAATCTTACCAAAAATAATGGGACAGCATACAATGGCTCTTGACCAACACAGATCAAATCAATTCCTACACCATTATCCATAACTCTTTGTTTTGTAATATTTGTTAACTGTCTATCCACGTAAAATTCACCCATACCAGGAGATATAACAATTGCTAATTGACCAGTCCGATCTAAACTTCTTTCAATATAATGTTTTTCAAAAACTAAAAACAAAAACAAAAACAAAATAAATAAAAGTATATTAGTAATAGTAATAACAATAAAACTACTATTTAGTAATTACATAATTAGTATAATTAATTTTAGTTTTTAATCACAATTTTGAAAGAAAATAATTTATTTATTATATACTAAAATAATGAGTATGCTATATTACAATTAATATTATCTCCAAACCTGAAAAATCACTCGGCCTTCATTTTTGAACCTCTTTTTCTAAAGATATTTTATAGTTTATTTATATTACTATTACAATAATACGGTTATTCAAAAAAATTACTAAAAAAATTTATTGTATTTTATAATAATAATATAAAAAGAAATAAATGGTATGAAAACCAAAAAATTGCTCATAAGTAAAATGCACTCAGATCTAAATTTTGATATACAAATAAACCATACACGGTTACAATAAGTCCAAGAATTCTGCTATCTTGGAAGCATTGTAACTTCTAATTATAAATCGATATCAAAAGAAGAATAGATTCAGAAAAGCAAGCTTTCTACAACAAAAATCAACTTTTCACCCCTGAGCATTGTCATATGTAAAATGTTGTTAAAACATTTGTTTAGAATATGCTGACATATGGCAGCGAAACATGAACAATGAACAAAATTATAGACAAGAAAAGCAATGTTAAAAGAAGTAGGAGAAAAAAAACAGCTGATGAAGATGATTGAATCAAAGACAATTAAGTTAATTGGACTCATCATAAGACACGACTTTATAACCAACATCTTGAACATCTTTGATGAAATCAAGAGGACCACCCAGGAACAATATTTTTAACACGTCCAAGAGCTCATAAACTGTACATATTTTAATTCATTGAAAACAGATGAGTGCCTGCAACGACAAGGCATTGCCTTTAATAATTGATGATGATAATAATTGTTATTGTTCATCATTATTAATGCATTTATTTTTTATTGTATATCTTTATCCATACTACTAAATACTAATTATGGCAGAAATAATCCTTTAGACCGTATGATGCGGTTGGTCAACGAAAGCCCCACTCTTCAATACTATTGAAATTGAGTATTACTAGGCTACTATTATTATATTTCACTAATCTCTCAAATGCGAAGTATTTTGTTTTTATTCTATTACTATTATATAGATTAATTTGATGTATTGTATTAATAATTGTAATTTAAATATTATATTTTAAATATCTAACATAATAATTTTTTATAAATAAATATCCAATTTTGTTGAACTTGAGATATTTATAAAAACAAATTGTTTTATGTATTTCCTGTTGTGTATTATTTTAATTTTTAATTCCTATAGTTTAAAGTTATGATAAATATATTTACTTTTTTAATTTTTAAGCTCTGACCAATCATAAACATTTTGATCAACATTTATATTTTATAAAGGAAAACTCAAATAAAAAATTTAAAATTTAAAATTTCTATATAGCTTAGAATTAGAATAAATATTTTGAAAATTACATTGTGTTTAAAAAATGATAATTTAAGTAATAGAAAAATGTTTCAAATTTCTATGATTCATATTTTAGTATTATAAAAAAATTGTTATTAACTGTGTGGTAAGAGCAACTTATGAGGAACCTTGCATTAAATAAAAATATAATTGGTTTTGTCAAAAACAGGTATTGATAAAGAATTTGCATCATAGACGTGAGCAGAGTTCTTAATCAGCAGTATCATAAATTATTAACCGTTATAACACCATTTATTTAATTTAATTTATTTATTTATTTATTCATTTATTTAGTACATTTTTAGCATATCAATTGAATACATAATTTATTAAATGTTAAGTGCAAATAGATCTAGAAATTACTGACATTTTACTGAACATAATAAAAATAAATAATAAACGAGCAGTTTTTCAAGATAATTAAATAATTAAATCTAAGTTTACTGATATATCATAAATACTATACATAAATGGTTATTTAAAAGACAAAATTTCTAAAATATATTTTAGTATTTTAATTGCATAGAAAGTATGGTTAAAAATATCAGGTATATAATTTAGCAAATATTTAAATACATACATATTTAAGTAGAGGTTAAAATTATTTTAATCAAAACGATGGATTAATTAAATATACAAACAATAACAACAAATATTCTAAGAAGCAAGCTGCTTAAAAATAAATTTAAGTTAAATAATATGACAATTACTGTATTAGCCACATACCGTTCAAGAAAAACAAATATGAAAATTTTATTATCTGAACTAAATAACCTGATGACCTAGGGAACCACTCACAAAAATTGAACATAGTTTGGGGATATAAATACTAACATATTTGCAGGGCAGACAAATTACCGTGACAGGTTATCTACACAATTAATGTGTTAAATTTTAATGAAATATTTCAATAATACTAAATCATCCTACACGAAAAACAATTCTGAGCAAGAAAGGTCTATGAGAATATAGGTATATATAAAAACAGTTTATGATATTATTGCTATTAATGTAAGGTATTTTGCTATTAGTAATACAGTAGGTTAAATTAATTTTTTCATTTAAAAATGTGATCTATATGACTATTTGATTAAAATATAATAATTTACTAATAAGTATCAAGTACCCACGAATAAAATTTTTAAATTAGACCAAAAATATAATTAAAATTGTGTTTCATTGTTAAAATATCAAATTATGTCCAATTTGAAATTAAAGTGTGAAAAAACTTTGTTTATGTAGTTTTTAGATACATTGTTACCAAGGAATGAATTATTTATGCGAAATTGTGATCTAAATTATCCTTAGGTATACCAATGTTTTATAACTCATGAGTTATCTCTTACTATATTTTCTAATCTTAGATATAAAAAGAAAAATGTTATGAATTTCTAACTATAAAATAATTTATGAATTTTACAATTTTGATGAATTCAGACGCTCATAAAAATGGTTGTGGATTTAGTCTCTACTGTTTTGTTTAATTACACTAGTAGAAAATTATGACAAACCTTGTATTAAATTGTATTTATTGCTGATAAATATTGAAAATTGCTTATATAGTTATACGACTAGTTTACATGGTGTTGTGAAACTCTATTTTATTATATGGTGTAACACACTGATGAGGCACTAATATAACAGACATAAATACAAAACAATATACTGCCCAATAAATTATAAAATAAGTAGTATACTCCCTCCTGTCAACATACAAATTGGTACAGATGTTTAATTATACAAACACATTGTCTACTTATAAATTATACATTAAACAAAGTCTTATAATAATCACACAATGGCATATAATCAATGATATAGAAATAATAGATAGGAGAACAGAAAAGTACATAAAGCCACATTATACAGCATTAGCCAGTTTAAGGAGTTTCCTCGATTACATGGCAAAAACTATATTCAACAAATTAGAAAATGATGTAAAAATTCTAATAAAAAGTTTATCAGTTTATATGAACTTCAGTTCAATCAAACAATGACAAAAATAAAACGTAACCTATTATAAACAAAACAAACAGGGCCGGACTAGCCCAGTGGTCTACTGTCCTAGAGGACAATGGGCCGCTGTCTTTGGCTGGGTTTTGGGCCGGTGCCTATTGTTAGTACAATTATATCGGGAGGTACATAAGTAAATATTAAAAGTATATTGTTTCAAAGGCAGATGAAAAATATTAAAAATCCTTAGTCACAGTTTTTTTATAAGCATTTAAAGTTCAAAAATTGACAAAATATGGAAAAATCATGAAAATTAGCAAATTATTTTGAGTTAAGAATTCGTAAAAATTTTTCTTTTTAAA